CCATTTAGAATAGCCCCTAAGAAAATAAAATACTTAGGAATAAATCTAACCAGAAATGTAAAAGACTCATGCAATGAATACTACACGACACTTCTGTAAGAAATCAAAAGAGATCTGCATAAGTGGAAAACATATCTTGCTCATTGATAGGAAGACTCAACATTGTGAAAATGTCAATTCTACCCAAAGCGATCTACAGATACAATTCAATCCTGATCCAGATTCCAACGGCATTTTTTAATGAGATGGAGAGGCAAATCACCAACTTCACATGGAAAGGGAAGAGGCCCCGAGTGAGTAAAGCATCACTCAAGAAGAAGAACAAAGTGGGAGGCCTCACACTACCGATTTTAGAACCTATTATACCGTCACGGTAGTCAAAACACCTTGGTACTGGTACAACAACAGATACATAGACCAATGGAACAGAATTGAGAATCCAGACATCATTTCATCCACCTGTGAGCAGCTGATAATTGACAAAGGCTCAAAGTCTGTTAATTGGGGAAATGACAGTCGCTTTAACAAATGGTGCTGGCGTAACTGGATATCCATCTCCAAAAAACTGAAACAGGACCCATACCTCATACCATGCACAAAAACTAACTCAAAATGGATCTAAGACTTAAATATAAAATCGAACACGATAAAGATCATGGAAGAAAAAATAGGGACAACGCTAGGAGCCCTAATATATGGCATAAACACAGTACAAACCATAAGTAACAATGTGCAAGCACCAGAAGACAGACTAGATAACTGGGAGCTCCTAAAAGTCAAACACTTATGTTCATCAAAAGACTTCACCAATAGAGGAAAATGACATCCTACAGACTGGGAAAAATTTTTGACTTTGACAAATCCGGTCAGCATCTAATCTCTAAAATGTACAAGATACTGCAAAACCTCGACAACAAAAAGACAACCCAATTAAAAAATGGGCAAAGGATATGAACAAGAACTTTGCCAAAGAAGATATTCAGGCGGTTAACAGAAACATGACGAAATGCTCACCATCATTAGCCATTAGAGAAATGCAGATCAGAACTACAATGAGATATCATCTCACCCCAACAAGGCTAGCATTAATCCAAAAAACACAAAATAATAAATGCTGGAGAGGTTGTGGAGAGAATGGAACACTTATATGCTGTTTGTTGGTGGGAATGTAATATGGTACAACCACTTTGGAAATCGATTTGGCACTTCCTTAAAAAGCTAGAAATAGAAGTACCATACGATCCAGCTATTTTGCTCCTTAGAATATATTCTAGAGAAATAAGAGCCGTCACATGAAGAGATATATGCACACCTATGTTCATTGCAGCATGTTCACAATAGCACAAAGATGGAAACAATCTAGGTGCCCATCAGCAGATGAATGGATAAACAAATTGTGGTATATCCGTACAATGGATACTATGCAATGATAAAGAACATTGATGAAGCTGTGAAACATAACATGGAGGAATCTGGAGGGCATTATGCTGAGTGAATTTAGTCAGTCACAGAAGGACAAATACTGTATAAGACCACTATTATAAGAACTCAAGAAAAGGTTTAAACACAGAAGAAAACATTCTTTGATGGTTACAGGGGTCAGGAGGGAGGGTGATGGTTATTTACTAACTAGATAATAGATAGGAATTATCTTCGGTGAAGGGAAGGACACACACACTACAGGGGAAGTCAGCACAACCGGACTAAACCAAATCTAAGAAGTTTCCTGAATACAACCAAACACTTTGAAGGACAGAGTAGCAGGGGTAGGGGTCTGGGGACCATGCTTTTAGGGGACATCTAGGTCAATTGGCATAACAAAGCTTATTAAGGAAATGTTCTGCATCCTACTTTGGTGAGCGTCATCTGGGGTCTTAAAAGCTTGCAGGCGGCCATCTAAGATGCATCAATTGGTCCCAACCACCTGGAGTAAAGGAGAATGAAGAACACCAGAGGAACAAAGAAAGTATTAGCCCAAGAGACAGAGAGGACCACGTAAACCAGAGACTTCATCAGCCTGAGACCAGAAGAACTAGATAGTGCTTGGCTACTACCAGTGACCGCCCTGGCAGGGAACACAACAGAGTCCCTGATGGAGCAGGAGAAAGGTGGGGTGCAGAACTCAAATTCTAGTAACAAGACCAGACTTAATGGTCTGAATGAGACTGGAGGAACCCCGGAAAGCATGGCCCCCGGATTCTCTGTCAGCCCAGAACTAAACAGTTTCCAAGGCCAACTCTCCAGACAGGGATTGGACTGGACTGTGGGACATAAAACTCGTGAGGAATGTGCCTCTTAGCTCAAGTAGATACAACAGACTAAACAGGCGGGTTCTGTCCGGAGGTGAGATGGGAAGGCAGAGAGGGTTAGGAGTTGGTTGAATGGACATGGGGAATTAGGGATGGAAAGGAGGAATGTGCTGTCACAGTATGGGGAGGGCAATTAGGGTCACATAACAATGTATGTATAGATTTTTGTATGGGAGGCTAACTTGAAATGTGAACTTCATTTTAGCTACAACAATAAAAGTAAAATAAATAGGCAGCAGGCCAGATTTGGCCTGTAGGTTATAGTTTAGACCATAGTTTGAGGGTTTACTAAACTGGATAAGAAGCCAGGAAACTAGTATAACTCATTAGGGTGTCATCCCCACGTTAGGAGCAGGAAGGAATTCTCCAAGGTCCCTCCCTTAGTGAGCAGGAAGCAGTGAAGGCACCAAAAGCTAGCAGAGCCCAGTCTCACCTCTGGATCAGCCATGCTGAGTCCTCAGGGTGAAAGTTACCCAACTACCGACTCACTTTTCTGGGCTTCATTCCTTTTCCAGATCTCAGTCCAGTAATTTTCAGTGTCTTGGTCATTTGTTGCTTTGAAGAAGATTTTTTTTTTTTTTTTAATTCAGCTTTTTACATTGTCTTCAGCAAGAGGGTTTGTCTGGATTACCTATTCTACCAATAACCAAAACCAAACGAAATCCGTTACCATCGAGTCTATTCTGATTCACAGCGACCCTATAGGACAAAGTAGAACTTCCTCCTAGGATTCCCAAGGAGCAGCTGGTGGTTTGAAAGTGCCGACCTTTTGGTTAGCAGCTGAGCTCTTAACCACTGCGTCACAAGAGCTCCATTCTGCCAATACTGGGGCTAAAACTGTTTAGTATGTTTTAAGTTTAGCTGGGTTTTGCTTGTTGTCTTTTTTTCAGATGCTTGAGTTCAGAGAGGAGTTAAATGGAGGTAGGGAACAGATAGAGATGAGAAATACAAAGTTTTAAACAATATTTGTCCTTGCAAATAAAAGAAGATAGTATAGATAAATTAAATATAATGAATATCTTCAACCCTAAATGGCAAAACTAACGAATTCATCTTGACCAGTCACTTACTGACGGCATAGATGAAACATTAGTGAAGTAGCCATCTACTAATAAGAAAATTCATATACTGATTAATTAATTTTTTGAAAGTCGAAAGTATCCATAAGTATCTTCTGAGGTCTTCCTTTGAACTGAAACTAAATAAAAAGGAATTTAGAAGTCATGGTTATTTAATACTAACTGAAGTTTTATGCCCTTAGGCATAAAGACATTAACTTTTGTCTTAAATAGATCGCAAACAAACCAGGGGTATACGGGGTTGGTTACATGCTGTCCTGTCCCCACCTCTCATAGCCGGTGTCCCACTCTGATTTTTTCACCTTCAGATGTGGCATTGTGCCTTCTTCAGACACGTTTTGGAATAAAATTGCAGAGGGCTAACTGTGTTGTCTGTGGTTGAACATGGAAGAACTGTGGACAGTTTTCATCTGTTGGAAATCATAAACAAACTGCTTTCTTTTCATTGAAGTCTTTTTTCCCCATATATCATTCTCTCAGAACATTTTTTTCTCCCCAAATCTATGCAGTCTCTTGAACATCATTTTCTTCTAAATTCTTTTTTAGTTATGTGAAACTAATCTCCACCTCGTAGTTCTATTCATGGGTCAAACAAGTGACTTAATCATGGCTGTTAAGTAAAGCAAAATAATAGCTCTTAGTTATTGAATACTTAATGGTTCGACATTGTTTTATTTGTTTATGATACAACCACGTGAAAGAATAGAAAACCTAAACATTTTGTAGTGAAATTGGATGTAATAAAGAATGTGTCACAAATCATACCATTAGGAGATACTTGGATTTAGTGAGGTACTGATAGGACCTACCTTGGGATTGTTGATACTTTTGTTGGATTGTGTGTGTGTGTGTGTGTGTGTGTGTGCGCGCGCGCACGCTATGAAATCATACATTGGAAAAAGTTCATCGTCCAAACCACTTTGGAATGCCGGAGGGTGCCTTCGAATTTCTCTAATATTTTTTTTCCTACTTCATTATTTAAAGCACTGTATTTTGTTTGTGGCACAGTGGTTAAAGCAATCAACTGCTAACTGGAAGGTTGATGGTTCAAAACCACCAGCGGCTCTACGGTAGAAAGTTGTGACAGTCTGCTTCCATAGAGATTTATAGCCTGGGAAACCTTACGGGGTCGCTATGAGTCGGAATCAACTTGACGGCCGTGGGTGGTGGTGGGATATTTTGTTTTTGCGTTTTGGGGAGCTAGGTTGTTAATAACATTATTCTAATGGAAAAATATTTTTGAAGATCCAAGTGACTATCTTAAAAGTGGACTTTCACAGCACAGAATTTGAACTTGTATGATAGTAGTGTGTCACACTAATTTTCTCATAGAACACAACGCTTGATTTTAATCAGACCTATATGAAAGACAATGAAATTTTTACTTTATTTTTTTTTGTGTGTAGCTCTAACATCAGCTGTCTGTGGTGTGTTGGAAGTTTTTCGGTAGCAAGGCATATGTATCCAATGTTTCACGTATACTGATGACACCCAAATTTAGAACTGTGTGCTATGGCTGTACAGAAATGAGGAAGGAAAAACTACTTTTCTGTGTCTCTATAACTCCTTAATTTTTTTTTTGATGTGTTCCTTTTTAAATTTTTTCTTTGAGGTTGTACCTACAACGGATCATATAGATACAGAGAAATTGAAAGCTAGAGAACAAATTAAGTTTTTTGAAGAAGTTCTCCTGTTTGAGGATGAATTGCATGATCATGGAGTTTCAAGCCTGAGTGTGAAAATTGTGAGTACTATGAATTTTTGTTTAAAATGAATTTCTTCTATTGGGTAGAAATATAAGACTCACTTCAAATCACACTAAGTCTAAACATGATATCATGGCTAGGGTTTATCTTATCCATTGCAAAATTCACAGTTAGGGGATATCTTAGCGTATTGTTATACTTTAGCAAAGCATTTTTTTTTTTTTAGTAGACCTGACCGCTTTGTTGTTTATTTGCTTATTATTTAACTTGAATTAAGTTAAATGAAGTTAATTTTCACATTTTAAGATAATAGTGATGTTGATAGAATCTGAAGACAGCAAGGTGGATGTCATTTTAAAAAAATCACCTATGTGTCAGGATTTCAGTGAGCTCTGGTGGCACGGTGGTTAAAGCACCCAGCAGCTAACCAAAAGGTCGATAGTTCAAACCCACCATCTGTTCCATGAGAGAAAGATGTGGCAGTCTGCTTCCATAAAGATTTACAGCCTTGGAAACCCTATGGAGCAGTTCTACTCTGTCCTGTAGGGTCGTTATGAGTCAAAATCAACTCAGCGGCAGTGGGTTTGTGTTTGAGTCAGGATTTCCGTGTACCATTAAACTACCATGTCAATTTCTATAATAAAAGTGAAAAACAGAAAGGACAAGAGTACTAACTTCCTTTCTTTTGTACTCTTTTCTATCAATAGAGGACAGACTACTTCCATTAACAATGTTGTTGGTGGTACATACTTAAAAATAATAATAAATAGGCTACTAGCAGTTATTTACATTTGTTTACTACTAGTCGTATTTGGTTCCTAACATTTTCCAGAAAAACCTCAACTGAAACTTTTTATTTCCTGTCTCGTCCTTTAAGACCCATCTAAAATGTTATCTCCTCTGTGAAGCCTTCCCAAGACGCCCAAAGCAGAGTTAAACATCCCTTTTCCATACTCCAATAAGTTCTTTCTTTTTTTTTTAAACCCCTCAACTGTAGCACTTACCACAAGGTCTGTCAAAGACGACCCCAGCATCAGACATTGTTCTTGTAGCATAATGATCGTCAGTGTTGTGATTTAAACAATGATAAAAAATGAAGATACCAATACAAAAGCAGCAATAAATTTGTTTTAAAGTCAAGTTGTTCTGTAGAACCATAGAATTTTGGAGCTATAATGGACTTTTAGAAAATTATATAGTTCAGCCTCCATATTTTATAGATGAGGCCCAAAAAGATCAGTTTATCCAAGGTTGTTAAACTAATTAGTGATACAGTTTTCTTTGTACCATATAATACATAACATTATTCTAGCATTTGATAATTGTTTTCTTAATGCCTTACCCCCTTGTTCACCTATAACTCCTCCAGTTTATCTTTTGTCATTTAGATTTATTCACTCTCCCACTCATCCAGTCATGTACCTTTCCACTTTTCCACCCACCTATTGAATTAAGTATAATGAATGCTCATTATGAGTTTGCATATCTGGGTGTGCATTTGTATCCAAGTGGGTGGCTGTATAGATGATGTCTGTAAGTGGATGATAGGTATGTGGGGAGCAAATGTGTTTTTCTGGAAGAAGTTCGAGAGGGAATAGGCATAAATGTATTATGTGTGGATCAGAGTATGTAGTTAGTAAGTCCCTCACTGAAGGGTAATGTCATCTTAAAATATGCTTTCTTCTTCCCTAGTTTACCTTTTATAAATTATTTGATAGTGTTGCATTTTTAAGAATGCCTGAAAGGATTTCGTTAGAGTCGTGTCCTTTCTGGTTGGTTTCTTTCTAACGATGTACCAGATAGTGCTTTAAATAAAATAAATGTCATCGTTTCTGGCCTAGAGGCAATGGGGCATGAACAAATGAAGTTCCCTTCTATACAAGCAAAGACTAATGTAGTAAATACAAATATAAGCAAGAAACCAGGAATGTGGAGCTGGGGAAGCTAAGGGAGAAGTTGTTAAGGAGGGCGTAAAGGTCAGTATCATACTGTACATGTCTTGTAAGCTTAGAATGGGATGGTTCCCATTGAACTAAAAAATATATTTAAAAAGTTGTTTTTTGGTTTTAGCACTTAGGATATTGTTATTGACTATGGTAAGAGCAGTTTAAGTTACATGGTTAGGGAGTGAATGAAAGATGTGGAGGTAGAGGCAGAAAGTGTAGATGTAGACCAGACTTTCAGAAAGCTAGAAGAAACAGACGTGGCTAAGAGAGAACGTGAGGTTGGCAGAGGTGTGTGTGTATGCATTTTTGTTATTTTAATATGGGAAAGACTTTAGCACATTAATGTGCTCACTGGAAGGAGCCACTGTAGAGGGAGGAGAGAAATTGAATGGAATAAGGTCTCTGAGGGTGAGGAGCAGGGGAGGAAGAGGAAGTCTTTGGGCCTTTACTATATGTGAGTGAGGCACTGGCTAGATACTAAGGAGCCCTGGTGGCGCAGTGGTTAAAGTGCTTGGCTACTAACCAAAAGGTCCGTGGTTTGAAGCCACCAGCTGTTCTGCAGGAGAAGGATGTGGCAGTCTGTTTTCCATAACGATTACAGCCTTGGAAACCCTATGGGGCAGTTCTGCTCTGTCCTACGGGGTCACTGTGCGTTGGAATCGACTCAGTGACAGCGGGTTTGGTTTTTGGTTGGTGGTAAATACTTAACTACATTATCTCATTTAATCATCATGAACATTCTGTGTAGTGAATACTTTCCTGTCTGTATTTTACAGGTGAGGAAATGGAGAGTAAGAGATATTAAGTAACTTGCTCAAGATCACACAGGGTATCAGTTTGACTCTCTGTCCATGCTTATATACCTCTAGGATCTAGATCTTGGTAAAGAAATTAGCGTAAGACTGGAAAAGAGAGAGATGCTGCTTCCATGGTGGTAGGACGAAAGGCGAACAGAATGTAGGTAAATCTGCCTCTACTACAGTGCTTCACAAACCTGAAGTTTTTTCAGAATTACCTAAATTAGAGATTTAGTTGTTTTTGACACTATGTGGCAAGGAATATTTTTTATTTGACTCCGCATAGTACACTTGCTGTATGTTTGTTGTCTGGGAAGATGGATAGACAGATGTAGGGATGGAGGGAGTAGGTCAGCAAAGGCTTCTTACAGGAGGTGGTCGTGATGTGAATTTCAGGTGTGTAAGTTCCCCAGCCAGACTGGGGAGGGGTGTGGTGGTAGAATAAGGTGATCGTTGATGTATTTCCTAAGCTTGTGGTTTGTGAGAGTTTCTGATCAATTCAAGCTGTCATATTACTGGCTACTGCTGGAAGATGAAGTATGGTGGTCATCTCCAAAGCCCTCGCCAGGTGCTTTCCACTTAGAGCTCCCTTAAGGAGGTCATTTAATTCACCTTTTTTCTCTAGAACTTTTCCTGACTTAAAATCTACATTTTCCTGGTTGCTTTCAAATAAAATCTGTACCATCACAGAATACTTCTAGTTTAGCAAAGCTTTCCAGGAAACCTCTGGAAAAAAGTATTTATTTTTAAGGACTGTATTTTTTCTTACTGCTGAAAGTTTGATTGGTAATATGTATAGAAATGAGTTTTTTCTTATTTATCACATGTGGGTCACTCCCTCCCCCCTTTTTGTGTCATCTCACTTTCAGAATGGTCTTGGAATCATCTGGGAGTAATAGTGGTAGTATTCATAGTTAGTGTTTTAACCTTGGTTGGCTGGAAAACCGCTGAAGGTTTTTTTCTAAAAGAATTGAATTGGTTTAGAATTGCAAGACTAGTTGTTTGTGAATGTTTGTGTCTGTGGTTACATAATAATTGTAAAGTATTTTGAAAGAAATGTTGTTGTATTAGGAAAGCTGCTTGTATAAACATATATCTTACTTTAGATTCCTGATATTGTTGGATAGAGCCTCTTAGGTTGCTCTTAACTTCTTTTACTCTTCCATTGATTCAGAGTGATTTTCCCATCTTATATTTTCAATTCCAAACTTAGGCAATGTATATATTTTTTTATTTTTTTTCTATTTTATTATTGCTTTTTTTGTACTTCAGGTGAAGGCTTACAGAACAAATAGTTTCTCAT